TTAGCCCCTCCATGGAGAGTAGCAAAGGCATGTAGAAATAATTTAAGACCGCAAAAATGTTTTGACATACAATCCTTGATAGTAAGATCTCATCAAATCACTTCATCAAATCACTCACATGGTCTCTAATCATAGACTTTAAGGATGGCCACGAGACTCGAAAAATCCATTAATTGAAGTGCCTCGTTGAACGTGGAAAAATTTTCTCCACAAAAAATACCTTACGAAGCATTTGGCAGGGTGGGACAGGGCGGTATGAGTCCTACTCCTTTTGTATATTTTTAGAAAATTATACATTAATTACAAGTAATATATTAAAATTATGACTATTGCATCCTATGACTTGTCATCACTTAATTTTAAATTCACGTAAGGTGTGTTTGTTTCGCGAAAAATGAGTGATTTGAAAAATATTTTTCAAAAAATAATCGCTTATAAAAATAAATAAATGGAAAATATTTTCATTTCTCACGAAAATAGTTATGCATAGATTGTTATCGATGATGAAAACACTTTTTATTGACTAATTTTTCTAAACGATATAAGTAATCATTTTTCGGAAAATATTTTCCAAATCACTCAAATTCCGCGAAACGAACGCACTTAAAAAATAAAGAAAATATATGTTATTCAGTGGATAATACAAACACATTAATATTATAAGTGTGTTATGTTTGCAATTCTTGAATAGTTATAAAAAATGAATAGAATGAAAGGCAAGCGTCCACTAATTCTTCTTATGAAACGTCCCACATAGGATGAAAGGCAAGAACACGGGCAACATGGCCGGTCACAAAAAGACAAGGTCGAACCTCGTGAAAAATCACGCAGCCATGTGATGAGCACAAAGCGAACTATTCTTTCGCCTTTTACTAAAGAATACCGTGTGCTCGTTACGATTAGTGGCATACGCCTATTTTTGGAGGGGATTCCTCAACTGAGGGAGCTCCTAAAATTGAGTACAAGTGATTTTTGAGAGCTCCCAAAATTGAGTACAAATGATTTTTTAGCATTAGCATTTCCGGTTCATGGCGTCAATCTGTCTCCGCCCTGAGATACCACCATGCTCGCGGGTCATTCCAAGTATTAGTGTTTTATGGATTCAACTCATGGAGTTATCCTTGCTGAAGAGTAGCAAACACCTGTGGCAATGTTGGGGCTCAGAGGAAGAGAAATATGTGACTATCTACAGATGTTCGCTAAAGAACCGTGACCGCTCGCAATCCTTGTAACTCTGAGGCTCAAAAGCTCGAGTATTTAGCTTCAAACCAACGTTATCACTAGACCCGTTTAGGCTCCAAAATGCAGAACATATGGGGCCATTAAATGAACTAACTCCGGTTCAGTTTAATCAGCTTACTTATTCATGTATAGTGGTATTTTATCATCCCTTGGGCTCTCGCATGGGTAATCTGACAACGAAAGCAGGAGAGATAGGACCATGGATTCTTGCTTCACACCAGCCTTGCGTTTCTAGTTTCCCTAGTGTTCGCTTTTTTCTCCGCCTCCTTACAAGTAGATGGATTGGTGTTCAATCGCGACCAACTAACGAACAACACACAGATTGATTGCTCTTCTAAGCCATGTGACTACAAAAACTATCTTCTAAGGATGGGATTCGAACTCTGTACCAAAATCAGTATGCTGCCATCTCCGAACGACCAACATGTTCTGTTTCAATCCTCTCTTCTCTCAACTCCACTGGAGGTTTTCAGGAGTCTTCCAAGTCAGCTATCGTTCTTCTTCATTTTTGAGAAGAGAAACCGTGAAAAAGGAGTCCCACACAGGGAAATCGAAAAGAATCACGGACCAGAGTAGGGGACAAAAGAAGAGGCGAGGCCATAGTGCGAAGCATACCTTTCTCGGCCTTTTGGCTAAGATCAAGTGTAGTATCTGTTCTTATCAGTTTAATATCTGATACGTGGGCCATCGGTTCACATGATATTAAATTAATTTTTTTAGGGGGAGAGGCCGCCACAGTAGCTTGCTACTGGGCTTCTCGTGTGTCGCTTGGGCGTTGCACTACAGTCCTTGCCTGGCGCACCCCACCCAAGACTAGTCAAAATAAGTTTGCTTCTCTAGTATTGTATTACCTATCATTGTCACTTCTGTCTATTGGGCACTCTGTTTGGTTGATACATCTTTTTGGTTTGCTACTTAATAAGCGAGACGTTGCTTTTGTGTTGCATAACTACACCACAAAGCTTTCAGGTGTGGTCTGTCTCTCTCTCTCTCTCTCTGTGTTGGGTTGTAGCTGTAGGAGCAAAGCAATCATTATTGCTGAAGCGAAGAATCTAAAAAACTAGTCATCTGTCTGTGTTTCTCGGGTTTATTTGTGCTAGGTGGTTCTGTTCTATTAGACAATGAGCGTTGGAGTCCTTTTATGATGGAGAATGTCCCGCAAATTCATGTTTCCTTTTCAAACCCACCCACGACAAAAACAACCTAAACCCCACCAGACGGAAATTTCACTTAGATCTTAAATTGGTTTTTGGAATTTTTCCTTATTAAAATTACGATTTTTTTCGTAAGGATTCAAAATCGGTTGAATTGTCTCGATGGTTTGTAAAATTGCTTTAACCAATCGCGGTTTAAGATGGTAAAAGTGGTAAGATTAGAGAGAATTGTAAAATCATGCAGATTTCGATCTTTGTCCATTGACAAAAATAGTCCCAAAGATAGAAAAATTGGACCAAATAATTGGGCTCACATGAAATAACGATTTCGAAATATGAGTTCGGCGTCATATTTTGCCAAGTCATACATGAGATGAAGTCAAATTTGGGCTTTTTGTATACAAGAGATTAAGGAATAAATTCGGACTTTGCTGTAAGATGGGCTCTGATAGATAAACTACTGCAACCCATTTACCATCTTAAACTACTCGAAAATGCTATTGCCCTTTTTGGGATGATAATGGTCCATAACACTGTTCAAAGAAAGGATAAATGGACAATAACATCGTCGGAACTTTCGTATGGTGGTCACTTAGTACTATAACTTTTCAAGAGATCATTTAAGTGTAACAATTTCTATAAATCGATCATTTTCAAGTGACATCAGCTTCTTGTGTCGTCAAAAAATCACATGTGACATTATTTTGGAGTGAATAATCTAACGTGACTCACCAGATATGTCAGCGCTCAAAATATAGATCAAATGACATCGTTGGGCGACACAAATTTGCCTGAAATTGAGGAATTAGGTTTAACTTGCTCCATAAACAAACCCTAAACCCAAAATCTTTCCCCAAATTGAGAAACTAGGTTTAATTTTCTTCCCAAAAAATCCTAGACCCAAATTACAGTTTCAATTAGAACGGATTATTGAGTTGAGAGGCACCCCATCTCGTCTCGAGCTTCATCAGAAGGTTCGACATTGACTCTGGTTGTGGAGGGAGGAATGATGAGAGAGAGAGAGAGAGAGAGTGTGTGTGTGTGTGTTCAAATGATGATGGTGGCCGCGGCTGAAGGAGGAGGACTACCGGTGTGGTGTCCAAAGTGAAGCATTAATTTTGGTCCGCAATTAAAAAGAGGGCCTAGGGGTTGGATTGCAACATAATTTAGTCCCAAAATTCTCAATTTTGCCGGCAAGAATAGCTTCTCTTTTTTTTTTTGTTTTTGAACACCTGGCAAGAATAGCTTAAACATCGTTTTAAACATTTTCGGCATCATTAGTTCTCTAACGAGTCATGTTGCATGATGTAATATTAAATTAATGTCATATAGGATTTTCAGGTAAGGGCACTCATTGATGTAACATGGTGGACGTTTTTAAAAGTTAGGGATAAGTGAATTAGAAGTCCTAAAACTTATCACGAACGTACAATGAAATCATAAAACTTTCAAAATGTGCAAAACTTGTCAAATTAGTGCAATCAAATCCTCATATTAACTCTGTCTAATTTGGCTAACAAAAAATACTAACGTTGCTATTTTTTTATTGTTATTTTCTCTATCATATGTGGCACTGCCGTGACTTAAACAATGTCGTTTTGGTCCAAATCTAATTTTTTTAATATAAATTTTATTTTAGTTATATTAAAACACAAGCAAACTTTAAAAAAAAGAGGAAGACATTGTCGCCCCACCATTGCTAGGAAGGGCTTGCGATAATTTAGGACTTAGTTACAATTTTTAAAAGTTTTAGGATTCAGTTGCAATGATAAGTTTTAGGACTTTCAGTTCACTTATCCTTAAATGTTATAACACTTTAGTGATCACTTGAAAGATTATGAAGTTATGATATCAAAGTAAGCGCTATGCGAAAGTTATGATACTGTTAATGTCATTTTTCCAATATTTATTATCTCTTTTCACATGTTTTAAAACTTTATTTTCTTTTCTTTTCTTAAAATACACCTGGGTGACTTCTTCCCTCAAGAGTCATAAGCCAACCTTCAGTGTATAGACATCCGCTTAGCCCCTCCATGGAGACTAGCAAAGGCATGGAGAAATAATTTAAGACGGCAAATATGTCTTGACATACAATCCTTTATAGTAAAATCTCATCAAATCATTCGCATGGTCTCTGATTATAGACTTTAGGGATGGGCATGAGACTCGAAATATACGTGTCCCGAGGTACCTCGTTGAATGTGACAAAATTTTCTCTATGAATAATACCTCACAAGGCATTTGGCGGGGTGGGACGGGGCGGTATTAGTCTTACCCTTTTGTATATGTTTAGAAAATTATACATTAATTACGAGTAATATATTAAAATTGTGATTATTATATCATATAACTCATCACCTACTTAATTTTAAATTCCCGTAAAATAAAGAAAATATATATTATTCAGTAAAAAATACGATGACATTAATATAACCAGTAGTGTTATGTTAGAAATTCTTGAATAGTTATAAAAAAAACGAATAGGATGAAAGGCAAGCCTCCACTAAATCTTCGTATGGAACGTCCCACGTAGGATGAAAGGAAAGAACAGGAGCAGCCAGGCCAGTCACAAAGGACGAGGTCATGGAGTTGGGCAAATCACGCAGCCATGTGATGAGCACAGAGCGAACTATTCTTTCGCCTTTTACTAAAGAATACCGTGTGCTCGTCACGATCAGTGGCATGCGCCTATTTTTGGAGGGGCTCTCTCAATTGATGGAGCTCCTAAAATTGAGTTAAGATAAGTATGTAGCATTGCAGATTCTGTTGGTAGATACTTGGCAATCCTCTTCTGAAGCTGAACCGGTTTGTTGCATTCTGATCCTTCTTTCTTCTTCTTAGTGAGCTGATACTGCCAAATTTTCAATCTCTTGGAAAAGGCAAGTAGGCTCCGCGGAGCAGGAAGAAAATCCGTTTCCTCTCTAAAACAGACCGGCACAAATTCAGCATCTTTAGGAGCCGTGCCCATGGACTATTTCCTTTCCCTCTAGCTGTTCTAGCTATGCATATTTTTTTACCCTGACATACCATCGTGCTCACAAGCCATTCCAAGTTTTCAGGTTATGGATTCAGTTCCTTAAGTACACTGCCCTGCTGTTGAGTGAGTCTTAAGTTTTAACCATTGTTCAAGCGACAACGTCAGAACCCAAACACTGCACTGCGGAGCGCCAAATGACACCCTCTTGACTAAACAGGGTATACGTGACTATCTTGGAGTTGTAAGATCTTACAACCGCAGAGAGCCTACTTATGAAGTTTTTCCTTGCTGAAAAGTAGCCGACACTGGCATGGTCTTTCTCCTTTCACTAAAGAAGCGTGATCGTGTGCTCAATCCTTGTAACTTTCGCGCTTGAAAACTGGACAATTAGCTTCGAACCAAAGTTATCACTGGACCAGTTCAGGCTTCAAAATGCAGAACATATGGAGCCATTAACTGCGGTTCAGTTTAATCGGCTTAATCATTAATGTATAGAGTGGTATTTTATCATCTCTTGGGCTCCCTCGCATGGGTAACAACGACAGAACAGGAGTATTAGGACCATAGATTCTTGTTTTACACCAAGCCTTGTGTCTCTAGTTTCCGAGTGTTCAGTTTTTCTCTGCCTCGTCATAAGTAGATGGATTGGTGTTCAATTGCCACCGACTAACAGACAACGCACATATCAATTGCCCTTCTAAGCCAAGTCAAGTGATTGCAAACACTTTCTTGCAAGGATAGGATTCGAACTCTCAACCACAATCAGTATGCTTCCATCTCCGAACCACCAACATGTTCTGTTTTGATCCTCTCTTATCTCAACTCCACTGGAGGTTTTCACGAGTCTTCCAAGTCTGCTATTGTACTTCGTTTTTTGCGAGAGAAACCAAGAAAAGAGTCCCACATGGGGAATTTGAAAAGAATCACAGACCAGAGCAGGACACAAAGGAGGAGGCTAGGCTACGTTCCAAAGCATACCTTTCTCGGCCTTTTGGCTAAGATCAAGTGTAGTATCTGTTCTTATCAGTTTAATATCTGATACGTGGGCCATCGGTCCACATGATATTAAATGAATTTTTCTAGGGGGAGAGGCCGCCACAGTAGCTTGCTACTGGGCCTCTCGCACGTCGTTCGGGCGTTGCACTGCAGCCCTTGCCTGGCGCACCCCACCCAAGCCCAGTTGAAATAAGTTTGCTTCTCCAATATTGTATAATAGCCTATCATATTCTCTAACGTTTAGTTTACGCTTTGTTTTGTTTATGCACGTCTTTGGTTTGCTAGTTGACATGCGAAAGATGATGCTTTTGTGTTGCATAACTAGACCGCAAAGCTTTCTGGTGTGGTCTCTGACTAGCTATCCCTCTCTGTTGGCGAAAAAACTATTGGGTTGCCAGCTATAGAAGCCAAGCATTCATCATTGCTGAAGCGAAGAATCCAAAAGATACTGGTGATCTGTCAGTGTTTCTCAGGTTCATTTGTGCTAAGTGGTTCTGTTCTATTATAATGAGCATTGGAGTCTTTTTATGATGGTGAATGTCCCAAAAATTCATGGCTCCATTTCAAACCCACCCACCACAAAAACAACCTAATTCGATCCGACGGAAATTTCCCTAAGATCCTACAATGGTTTTTGGAATTTCTTCTAATTAAAACTACTATTTTTTTTGTAAGGATCCAAAGGGGTTGAATGGTCTCGATGGTTTGTAAAATTACTTTAAGTAGTCGCAGTTTGGGATGATAAAATTGTTTAGACCAGATAGAATCGTAAAATCGTGCAAATTTTGGTCTTTGTCCATCGACAAAGTTAGTCCCAAAGATAGAATCGGACTATGGCGTGCGTTTGGTTCGCATTGGGAAGGGGCTTTCAGCCGAAAGCCCCTTCCCAAAAATGCTGAACCAAACGGTTAACGTGAGCATTGAAAATGCTCAAAACTAGCATTTTCAATCTTGAAAGCCCAGTCTTGATCGACTAGCTTTGGACTTTCACCTTGAACCAAATGCCAAAATCATTTTTATACTTCCCAAACTACCCTCACTCAAATTTCAATATTCCGGCTTTGCCCTCTCGTTCTTGTTCATCTTCTTCACCAAAGGGACTCGGCGAGGCAAAGGGCCAGCGACGAGCGAAGTCCGGCGAGAGTCGCCCGACCCAGCGACGGCGCCGCCCGGTCGCGATCGCCGCGCGCGCCGCTCGGGGTCGGGCGACCGCCAGTGCGGCCGCACAGGGTCCCGCGACCTCGGGCGGCCGTCGGCTGGGGTCGCGACCCGGCGGCCGTCGGCCGGGTCGCGACCCGGGCGGCCGTCGGCTGGGTCGCGCGACCCGGCGGCCGTCGGCTGGGTCGCGCGACCCAGGCGGCCGTCGCCCGAGATCACGCGACCTCGGGACCGTCGCCGGGTCGCGCGACCGGCGGCCGTCGCCTGGGTCGCGCGACCCAGCGGCCGTCGGCTGGGGTCGCGCGACCCGGGCGGCCGTCGGCTGAGGTCGCGCGACCTCGGGCCTCGTCGCCGAGGTCGGCGTCCTCGCCGGGGTCGCTCGGCGACGGCGACGGCCGCGCGCAGCCGGCTCGCTCGCCGGCCGTAGCCCCGCCGGGGCCGTAGCCCTTCGCCGGAGCCGGCGAAGGGTATTTTTGCCTTTTTTAAAAAACCCCTCAAAGCCCATTTGTAAAAAAATTAACCAAACACCACTTGGGTCAAAATAGCTTTGCAAATGAGTTTTTACCAAACGCCATTTGCATTTTTCCTAAAGGGCTTCCACCCAAAGGCATTTGCATTCCCAAAGTAGCATTCCAAATGCTGTACCAAACGCACCCTATAGCTATTTCAAAAAATGAGTTCGGCGTTGTATTCACCCAAGCGCTACATGAGATGAAAGTCAGATTTGGGTGTACAAGTGATTGAGGAACGAATTTGGACTTTGCTTTGAGATGGGTTCCGATAATAGTCTAGTTCAACCCATTTACCGTCTGGGACCACTATGAAATCTGATCGCCCTTCTTGAGATGAGAAAGGCCCATAACACTTTTCAAATAAAAGAGAAATGAACAGCAATGTTGTAATTTTTGTACGGCGCTTATTTTGATTTTATAGCCTTTCAAGCGATCATTTAAGTGCAACAATTTCTAAAATCAATCATTTCAAGTGATACAAGCCATTTGTGTCGTTAGAAATTCACATGTGGCTTTATTTTAGAATAATTAATCTAATGTGACTCGTTGGAGAGGTCAACACTCAAGATATAGATCACATGACATCGTTTGGCAACATAAATTTGCTAGAAATTGAGAAATTAGGTTCAACTTGCTCCATAAACCAAGCCCTAAACCCAGAATCTTTCCTCAAATTGAGATATTATGTTTAATTTTCTTCCCAAAAAATCCTAGCCCCAAATTCTTGTTTCAGTTAGAACGGCTGATTGAGTAGTGAGGCGCCCCGTCTCATCCTGGGGGCAGCCAACGTATTCACGAAACTGAACATGAGCTTCCTTGCGAGGTTCAACATCAACGCTGGTTGTGGAGGGAGGAATGATGGGTGCCAAGTGTTGAGGAAAACTCCTATTAATTTTGAAGTTGACAAAACCTTCTATGTTATTGTAAATCGATACTTATTCTAACTATTCAGTCGTATATTCGAAGCTCAAGAAAGTTATTCGAGACTTTACAATCTGTCAAATATATTTCGAAGACCCACATAATCGCAGTTCGAGATTCGAAGCGAGAGTTATTCGATGCGGTATGGACGAAGAAATTATTCGAGACGAAGAAATTCGCGGACGCAGAAGAAATTATTCGACGCAGAAATTCTTCGACGAGCACGGGAGTTCTTCGATGCGGACGAATATCTTCGAGCCTTGAGAATTCGAACGTAACACAACAGCTAGTGATCGGCATGGATTTCACAAGGAATGTTCGATTGTCTCAATCGAATCAAACGATTGACAATCAAACATCATGACAAGAATGCATTACAACGGACAAAGTTCTACTTATGGAAACCAAGATTCGATTGTATGGGCGACCGAAATCGAGCGGGATTCGAATCTGTCAACCAACGGCTACTCAATCCTTACTATACAAATCATGTCCAAGGTAAAGATTGGAAGATGATCCTCCGAAAGCTGTCCAACGGCTAGTTTGGAAGCGAGAGGAGTATTTAAGGAGATCAACGAGCGCGAAGGGAGAACAGAATCAAGAATCAACAAGTCCAAAGTCCGAGCTTAATCCAATCATTTTCTCTTGTCATTCGAGCCAAATATTAAGATCTTGAGGAACACTTTGTAAGAGTGATTGTGTGAGATAGAGAGTCCTATCATACACAAGAGTGTAAACACTTTCGAAGTTGTAACTCCTCTTGATTACATAGTGAAATCCACGGTAGGGCGTAAGCGTGGGAGAGTGGACGTAGGCTTGCTATAAGCCGAACCACTATAAACTTGTGTGCAGATTCTCTATCCCTTATCTCTTACTTTACATTACGCACATCAAAAGCACATCTATATAATCATGTCTTGAATCTGAATTTTATTCGAGACTCTTACGTGATTTATTTTGTTTCCGCATAAATTACTAAAAATTGTTTTAGATCACCTATTCACCCCCTCTAGGTGATCCTTGCTAGCTACATCAATTGGTATCGGAGCGGGTTGCTCGGTTATTGAAGTGTTTTACTTCAGCTAACGATCTATATGGCTCGCTATGGTGCTCCGGGGCTCATTGAAGGACAGAGCAACAACAAACCACCATATTTCGA